TGTTTCAGTGTCCAAAGTTTTTAAAGTGTTGTGCTTGACAACATATTTTCTTTATAGAAAGTGCCCGAGTTACTTGACTTTTTTACACTTATAGTGATTAAAATAACAATGTCAAAGACATTTTGTCAATTGTAAATCCAACTGTGGAGATGCCTTTATATTTTAAAAACAAACCAGATGCTTCAGAATGCTTCAAATCAGATGTTTTTTCAAATCTGATTATAACATGGTCTCAAACAAAAGATAATTTTCAATGCTCACCTAAATCCAAAAACTAGATTACTCAAAACTCAACTTTGTGATGTCATCAGGTATAAAGTCTGGAGCTGCTTCACAGACAATACATTAGAGCACCCAGGGAATTGTTCTGAGTATATGGGTACATTTTCTGTTTCACAACTGAGAACACTTCAATAGAAGAAAGCTTATTTATAATCTATAAATCTAAACACCTTTTATGGAAGGTCGGTCAGCTAAACAGTATCAACTTATAACAGACAGTGACACCTCTTGGAAAGTTTTTGTGGCACTTAACTTTCAAAATCTGTGCAGGAAGGTCAGACACACCAGTGTTTAAAGATTAATTAATCGATTATGCAAAGGCTTAAATTAAAATCTAAACATCATGGAAAAAGCTAAAATAAATGAATAACTCAAGATTTAATTTGGACTTGGGACATTCAGAGGTTTTTAAGGACCTGCTGACATCTTGATCATTTTCAACACATCAGTCTGCCTCAGTGTTTTAAGGTGAGCTCAGAATGTCCAGACATTCATTTTAAATAGCTCAGGTATGTATTTTGACCATTGCATTCTGTGTATGTTGGCCGATTAAATGAGGAGTAAGGTAATAGAAAATCTGGACTTCACTTCACTACCTCATGCTGCCAGGTTACATCTCGCAAGCTCAGTTTTTGCCACAAGATTCAAGTCTGAAAAGACATCCACTTGAGAGTCCATTCAGCCCTGTCAGATACACACCGGACCAATCAGTAATCATATTTCCCTCTCCAAAGCCAGATTAAGCAATGTTGATTTTAAACGAAACACAGTCATACAACTGCAGGTTTTCTGAGGATACTTTTGACAGCTGCCATATTTTTCCAGTCGTGGAAACTGGAAGCAAAGTTGACAGCCCAAGTCAACAGTGGTGTGTTTGTCCAGTCAGCAGAGGCTCATGATTATGTCTGGGTGAGAGACAGAACTGTACAGAAACTCTATTGTCCAGCCTACTTGAAATGGCATCTGTGTCCAGATAGTTTATCCGTGGCTGGAGGATTTGGTTTGCTATTTTTAAATAATGGAGGTGGTGGGGGGAACACATGAAAATAAGGACAAAGTAAATGTCTGATGGGTTTTTGGGCTGGTGATGAACACTGCACCTGAAACTTGCCTCTTAACAGGGTCAGGGTGTAATAGTTACAATAGGTTTGGTTGCATACAGTTGTTTGGGGTCCCTGGGACAAAGAAATCTTCAAATGTTTTTTTGTGATTGTTTTTTTATTGATGTGTGTTGCTGGTTATACAGTACAGGCCAAAAGTTTGAACACACCTTCTCATTCAATACGTTTTCTTTATTTTCATGACTATTTACATTGTAGATTCTCACTGAAGGCATCAAAACTATGAATGAACACATGTGGAGTTATGTACTTAACAAAAAAAGGTGAAATAACTGAAAACATGTTTTATATTCTAGTTTCTTCAAAATAGCCACCCTTTGCTCTGATTACTGCTTTGCACACTCTTGGCATTCTCTCCATGAGCTTCAAGAGGTAGTCACCTGAAATGGTTTCCACTTCACAGGTGTGCCTTATCAGGGTTAATTAGTGGAATTTCTTGCTTTATCAATGGGGTTGGGACCATCAGTTGTGTTGTGCAGAAGTCAGGTTAATACACAGCCGACAGCCCTATTGGACAACTGTTAAAATTCATATTATGGCAAGAACCAATCAGCTAACTAAAGAAAAACGAGTGGCCATCATTACTTTAAGAAATGAAGGTCAGTCAGTCCGGAAAATTGCAAAAACTTTAAATGTGTCCCCAAGTGGAGTCGCAAAAACCATCAAGCGCTACAACGAAACTGGCACACATGAGGACCGACCCAGGAAAGGAAGACCAAGAGTCACCTCTGCTTCTGAGGATAAGTTCATCCGAGTCACCAGCCTCAGAAATCGCAAGTTAACAGCAGCTCAGATCAGAGACCAGATGAATGCCACACAGAGTTCTAGCAGCAGACCCATCTCTAGAACAACTGTTAAGAGGAGACTGCGCCAATCAGGCCTTCATGGTCAAATAGCTGCTAGGAAACCACTGCTAAGGAGAGGCAACAAGCAGAAGAGATTTGTTTGGGCCAAGAAACACAAGGAATGGACATTAGACCAGTGGAAATCTGTGCTTTGGTCTGATGAGTCCAAATTTGAGATCTTTGGTTCCAACCGCCGTGTCTTTGTGAGACGCAGAAAAGGTGAACGGATGGATTCCACATGCCTGGTTCCCACTGTGAAGCATGGAGGAGGAGGTGTGATGGTGTGGGGGTGTTTTGCTGGTGACACTGTTGGGGATTTATTCAAAATTGAAGGCACACTGAACCAGCATGGCTACCACAGCATCCTGCAGCGACATGCCATCCCATCCGGTTTGCGTTTAGTTGGACGATCATTTATTTTTCAACAGGACAATGACCCCAAACACACCTCCAGGCTGTGTAAGGGCTATTTGACCAAGAAGGAGAGTGATGGAGTGCTGCGGCAGATGACCTGGCCTCCACAGTCACCGGACCTGAACCCAATCGAGATGGTTTGGGGTGAGCTGGACCGCAGAGTGAAGGCAAAGGGGCCAACAAGTGCTAAACACCTCTGGGAACTCCTTCAAGACTGTTGGAAAACCATTTCAGGTGACTACCTCTTGAAGCTCATGGAGAGAATGCCAAGAGTGTGCAAAGCAGTAATCAGAGCAAAGGGTGGCTATTTTGAAGAAACTAGAATATAAAACATGTTTTCAGTTATTTCACCTTTTTTTGTTAAGTACATAACTCCACATGTGTTCATTCATAGTTTTGATGCCTTCAGTGAGAATCTACAATGTAAATAGTCATGAAAATAAAGAAAACGCATTGAATTAGAAGGTGTGTCCAAACTTTTGGCCTGTACTGTATATTCCTGCTGCGTTCTTGTTGCCTTGGGTCCTGCTCTGTGCTGTATTGGTAATTAATTGTGGAACTGCAGCGCTGAGTTCAAAACGAAACTCCCAAAGAGGACAAACACAGTAGATCTTGATTTTGATCTTCATTTTGAGTCCAATATAAACTCAAATAATAAAGGTGTTATTGGACTATCAGTGGGCTGATCGATCCCTAAAATTTCCAATACTAGCTAGTACTAAGAAGCTTCTCTAACTACTAGTAGCACTATTTTTTGGGCTTTTTAGCCTTTAATGTATAGGACAGACAAGTGTGAAGGGGGGAGAGAGAGGGAGTGACATGCAGCAAAGGGCCACGGGCTGGAGTCGAACCCAGGCCGCTGCGGCAACAGCCTTGTACATGGGGCGACTGCTCTACCACTAAGCCACCAGCACCCCAGCACTATTACCACTAGTTATTGAAGCTACTAGTAGCTTCAGTATTCGTTATAATAGGTTCAGTAACTCAACAGAATAGAACTGACTCTGGCAAATCACTGAGTAGTAATGACAGTGTATTCAGAAGTAGCCTATGATGCTGTCACCCTTACATAATGACTCACTGCCCTCTCCTACGTGAAAACAGAGTGCCCCAGGAATAAGTCCTAAAATGCGGTAATGACCTGCCCTACTCCCTTCATGATTGGCTAGTACTCATTGTCTTTGTTGATCGGATTGGTTAGGTTAAGGCAAGAGGAGTGATAGTGGTTAGGGTTAGAGTTACAGTCTCAGGGTAAGCCAAGCTGAGGCAGAGTAAGGCGAGCCATTTCTTTGCTATCCTAAGATTCACAAATTCACTCCTGGTTCCTTTGCCTTAAAGTCATTGTGTCTTTTTGAATTGGTTTTTGGTCAGATGCCTGAAATAGGGTCTGTGGTTAACACAAACTGAAAAGACTTGACTTGAAGAAGAACTATTTGTTGGCACACTGGGAAAACAATGAGGTCTGGGACTTCCCTCCAAGGAGAGGACGAGATCAGCCACCATATAATAGGGGATGTAAATGATTGTTATTGCTATGTTATGTCATGGTTATAGAATGGTGCAGGACTGAGTCCTTAAACCTGGAAAGGAGTTACCATTTTTCGCTGGTCACCTCGTCTGGAGGTCAACAAGTTCTTGGTTCTTGCTTGAAATAAGGTCAGGGGTTAACACAGGCTTAACAGAGTGTCACATCTTGTGCTACAACATTGGGTCCATGTCATTGGTTCGACAGCCCATTAGTCTGACTGTCCACGGTGCGCCGCGACCAGCTTGAGGCGGAGCAGGCTCACAGCTTATGTGTTTGTCACTTTCTTTTTCATTTTAACCCATACCATGATCTTTTCCTGACCCTAATCAAGTGTTTTTTGTGCCTAAACCTAACCAGACCTTAACCACAGGGCATCATGATGATTTCGGAAAGGACTTTGGAACAATGAGTTTAATATGGTCGGAACAATGGGATGTCGAACCAATGGGCTGTCGAACCAATGGGCAGTTCCCACAACATTAACTATGCCAGTAAATAATCCACTTCTTATTTTGACACTTTTATGTGTCTTAAAATGGTCAGTTGCTAACAAGTAGCTAAATGAGACAACAGAGTGGTCAGGGAACAGTTGGGCTGTGGACACTGATTGAGTATGACTGTGGAAAGGAATTGAGGGATTTTAGTGAAAACAAGGAGATAATTAAGGAAAAGTTAAGAATGTTAAATATAGTTTGACTCATCAAAATAATAATCCAATTGCCTGTAGAAGTGCCTCACTACATGCAGCATTGATCCAACAGGGTCATGTAGCAGCTGTTAAAACTGCACTTCATGTTTTTCACCCTGGGAGGCAGTAACGGTCACTAACGTCTCTGCGCAGGCGCAGTGGCACTTCACACAACCGCAATAAGCAAATATGGCGGCGGCCGTCGACAGTGTTGTGAAAGTGTAAGTTTATCTTTATTTATTGTAAGAGTAAAACGCGCTTTCGTAGAGAGGTGAATGTATGATTGATTAAACATCATGTTAGTGCAGAGTACTGAAAACTGTGAAGAGCGCATCCTCAATATTCAGCACAATATTTGTCCCAAGAGAATAACGTTATCCACTGAGCTAATGCTAGCTTGTTAGCTTTGGGCAAATCTAAATGAGGCGAGCCCATTATGGAGCTGTATTTTAGCCACAACTTATCCCTAACTTAACCACTCAGGGTATGTTTAAGATGGTGTTACACACATTATATTCACGCTGTTATTAGCCAGCTGCCTGTAGGTGAAGAAGGTAGTTAATTTAGTAGTAACCTGTCAGCTTGGCGGGTGCTTTGTTGTGACGACAGGCTTGCTAACAATCAACCTTTTGTTCTGACATCCCTCCATCGTTACTATCGGTGTTAGGCATTGTAATGAAGTCAGGCTCGGCTATGTGTGTGCTGGTAATAAAAGCAGGGATAGTACAGTCAGAGCAACAGTGTGTGAGCACTCTGAGAGAGCAATGCGACAAATTGGTTTCAGGAGAAGCCGAGAATTAATGAATACTGTGTTGGTGAGGAAGGGCACTTACTCGTGAAGCATAGCGATTATTCATTCATTCATTCATTTGGTTACACCGCCACATGATTATGATAATATTTAAAAATGTCAGAGGGGGAGTGAGAATTATGAATTACGGTGCAGTATGTAAGCAATTTAGCAGTAGGTTGTCCATTAAAACTATTTACAGTAATTCCACTGCTCCTATTGTAGGTCAGGTTCTTTGTCTATCATGTGCACAGCACTTACAGAGAAGCAAGTTTTGGCAATAAAAATCTTAAGTTTTAGGCTCCCTCCAACAATGTTGACTAAAGCTATATTTAAAAAAGAAGATAAGACAAGTAAAAGCAAGAAAAAGTAAAAGCATGGCAAGTATATGTACGCACAATGGTGTAATCAGTTGTAACAGTGTATCAAGTGGTAAGTGAAGTGAGGATCATTAGATGCCAATTTGTGTGGTTAGTTACCACATAATCAAAGTTTAGATTACTGCAACATATAACCATTCAAGAAAATGTGTTGAATGTGATTTTTTTATTCCTTTGCTCCTAACCCTGCTATGTTTACAGTTACAATATCTGATAAATTGGCCAAGCTGATATCTGATGGCTGATATGAGCCCCTATGAGGGTAGATCAGTATCAAGACTTTAGTTTGGAATAAACAGATAATAAAGATATTTTATGTAAAAACATTCTGAGGTAAAAAAAAGTGCTTGCTGTTGCATAGTTATTTGCACAGAGGGCTCTTAAAAGTTATTTTTTTAACTTCAGAATATCTCACTAAGTAAATATCTTGCCTTGGTCACAATTTCTTAGAAAAATGATGGCGTTCTTTATGAATAAAAGACAGAAAGAGGCAGGAATTTCTCAGCTACTATTCTCAAGGTCAAGAACTTTGTTTGTATATGAAATGTGCTTATGTTAAAAAAAAAAAAAACAATACAATGAAATCTGTGTCAGAGGTTGCAGAGATAAATGTTGCCAACAAGTTCAGCACAACTCGCCATTGAAAGAGTAAAAAGTATGGCAATAGGGAGTGGAATCCATAATGCATATATTTTACACATACTACTTGGATACATTACAGTAATAGCTTAGTAGTGTTTGCGGCACACACTTCTTTATTATTTTAAAGCTTAATTTGCAATATTTATTCGTCACTGATTATTATTAGTCTACCCTAAGCTTTGTAATTTGACTTGTCTGTTTCCAACTTTCACATTTCAGGCTGGGAGAGCAGTATTACAGAGATGCAATGGAGCAGTGTCATAGTTACAACGCTCGTTTGTGCGCTGAGCGCAGCATCCTCATGCCTTTCCTGGACTCTCAGACTGGTGTAGCCCAGTCCAACTGTTACATTTGGATGGAGAAGAGACACCGGAGTGCAGGTATATAACTAGTGCAGAATGATAATTCAGCATTGTCATTAATTGACTTTCAAGTCAGTGATATAAAGATGATTCAATCAAAGTCATGTCATCATGTTGCAAATACTACTATATGATATAATACTCCATGTTTGTACTGTACTTTGAAGCATGACATCTACACAAAAAACACAAGACGCAAGAAGATCCAACTATGTTATAGTTGTAGTAGTTGACATTACACCAAAACTTACTTCACCTGCTGGTTCCTCTACATGTTCTGTGTCTCATCAGGTGTTGCTCCGGGGCAGCTGTACACCTACCCAGCCCGTCGCTGGAGGAAGAAACGCCGTTCTCACCCTCCTGAGGACCCCCGCTTGGCTTTCCCCCCTCTTAAAGCAGGTATCGCCTCTGATGGAACAACCTGTCTCCCATCACATAACCAGTCAAGTTGGGTTCATTCATCCTTTCCAGTAAAATGTTATGAATATATTTACTATCTGTTCATATTTAATGGTTGGATGTGGGATGCACTGTCCTGTTAATTAATTTGGGTTTGTTTGTGTGTCTGTTTCTATGATCATGTCATGTCATGCATGCATTACATTTTTAATTGGTGTGTGTAGCAGATTTGGAGATGAGTCTGAAGCGCGATGCACTGGGGGCGGTGGACGGCAGCAGTCTGGAGGCCCTGCTGAAGGGGGAGCCCCTCGACAGGAGGAGTGGAGTTTCTGACATCCGTGGCCCTGAGGATGACTCAGCAACCGTGGAGCCACCTGCTACCTCGACGACCACTCACACGTCTTCTGGGCGTGTTCGCAAGGTATGGCTCAAAGCTGGCTGAACATTCTTGTTTTCTGTCAATGCAACTGATGTCTAGAGCTTCAAAGTACCACTAATGACATGTGAAAAATGTTAAAAAGCAAATACCACCTAACAATTGGTGTCGACGGGTAAAAAAAACTTCCAGTCGGTCTAAAAGGATTTCATTTAAGGGCAGAGGACAAACAATGGGGATGGATTTAGGTTGTAATACAACTGTCTTGTGTTAGATGGACAACCTGTGAAATCCTGGAGGGATTAAACAACTTGGAGTTCCTCCCAAGCAGTGTAAATTTTAAGGAAATTTTAATTTTAAGGAAATTTAAGGAAAGTTAAGTCAGTGGGACTTAATCCACACCCTCTCACTACAGAGAGTCCTGGACCATGATGACTACTTGGACGATCTGGATGATGAGGACTTTGAGGACGAGACCCCCAAGAGACGAGGCAAGAGCAAGTCCAAGGTGAGTGCCGCATAATTTTGTGCAGTCAGTTCCTTGTGTATTTGATGTTTCAGTGGTGTACAATGTGTCAACTGTTCAATGGGTTCCTTAGGGCCGCAGTGACAAGAACGGCAAGAAAAAGCAAGAGGCTGCAGCTGCAGCGCTGGAGGAGAGGGACAAACCTTACGCCTGCGACAGTGAGTAGGAGTTTCCTTTGCAACGGCTGTGCGTGTCATGCATGTCAGCAAGAGAGGCTTTTGCTTTTTCCCCTGACAGACAAAAACAAGCCTTCTGCCATGCATGGTGTGATCTGAAAGACCCCATCTGGAATTTAAGTTTGTTAGCTTAGAAATTTGAAAAGTTGCCCGTTCAAATGCGTTTTCTATTTTTTGTTTTTTTTCTTGATGCCGCTCCGTGTGCTCTGTAACTTCCTGCTGGCCAAAGCTCACTGTGCAAATGCTCACCTCCGCTGTATGAGATTGCTGCTACCGCGTCAGCCAAATATTAACCATGTGAAAATAAGTTAAATACTAAAAAAATGAAGCCGGTTGTGGATTGATGAACAGCGAAGTTTTGTGGTTCCACCTTGGGCCTTTTTTGACGGTAGAAGTAGCCGCCATCACTATAACACTTTTGTATGACCGTGTGTGTGTGTGTCAGTCTGTGGGAAGCGCTACAAGAACCGTCCTGGCCTGAGCTACCACTATACACACTCTCACCTGGCCGAGGAGGAGGGCGAGGACCGCGAGGAGATCGAGGCACCACCCACTCCTCGCCAGCCTGAGGAGCAGAAGAGTGAGTCACTCTCTAGTGCTGAGAGAGAGACAGAGAGAGAGGGGAGGGAGGTTTGGTTGCATGCCATGTAGCATGTGTGTGTTTGTACAAGGGAAGTCTCTCTCTCATTCTTTTTTTTTTTTTTTTCGTTCTGCTCTTTTCATTTTTTGATTTTCATAATTTTGAATCCCATGTTTGGGATCAGACTCAATGTTCCTGACTGAAACATGCTTGCACAGTTGGGATCCCTGCCATTTTTTTTAAAGCATATCATCCATCTTTTTTTTTTTTTCCTTCCCCCCCAACACATCCAACGCATTGCTGTTGTTTTCTTCTGTGCACGCGACACCGTGTTAGAAAATCCATTCAACAAGTGCGTTTTGTCAGTTGTCACTCATTCATTAGTTTGGATCATCAGTAAGTTACATCATCAGCCAAGTATTGAGATAAAAAAAAAAGGTGGTGTAGGCTGATGCGCCATGAACATGGGTGTAAAACTGCTTCAGAGTTTAAAATATTTGAGTCATGAACTGTATTTTAATGCACTTAGACAGATAACATGTGGACGATAATAGTTGTATTTAACTCCTTTATAACTCCTTTTAAGTGACATTTTTTATGTGCACTGAACTATTTCTTCACTCATTCTCCTGCTCAGCAACTAAGAAGGGTCCCAACGGGCTGGCAATGCCCAATGATTACTGTGACTTCTGTCTGGGAGACTCCACTTTAAACCAGAAGACTGGCCAGTCAGAAGAGCTGGTGTCCTGCTCAGATTGTGGACGCTCAGGTATGTCCTTGTCATATCACTAATTGACTCTTCCCCCCGCCTTAGTTACTGTTGCTATGCCTGTCGAGCTTTCTGTTCTCGCATGGCACAGTGCAGTTTTCATGGTTATTTTTATCCCACTTGACAACATCTCTCCCGTGTCGTCTCCCTCCTGCAGGCCACCCAACTTGCCTGCAGTTTACACCAGTGATGATGGCTGCAGTGAAGACATACCGCTGGCAGTGCATTGAGTGCAAGTGCTGCAATGTTTGTGGCACCTCAGAGAATGACGTGAGCCCTTTTTGATATAATGTCACTGTCTGTATGTTGAATATACCTTATAGACTTTTTCATTACTATTCTGTTGCTAGAGCAACAGCTTTGGTTCCTGTTTACTTCCTGTCAGCCACTGCATAAAGAAACATTACCACAGGAAATATAAAAGCTGCGTCTGAACTTACATACTAACATGCTGTTAAGTAGGTTGAAACAGCAGGTGATGTATTTTAGTATATCCAAAACCGTAGTCTAAAAACCATTAGGACGTGAAATGCATGCTATTTCCAGAGAAACATTACAGTATGCAAACACTAGACACTACACTGGCATAAATATCCCAAACTGTAATGCGGTAGTGACAATAATGCTCATAACAATGGACAGCTACTGGGGCATTTCTGTAACGTCAGTAAGTAATAAATACCTCTTTAGAGGTGAATGACTTTGGACATAGTCTGCTGCTGGATGTGGAATTTAGTAGGGTTGCGTACCGAAACTCGGTACTTTTTGTACTTGGTACCGATTCACGTCGGTACTACCGAGTACTTATTCACTTAAAATGAATTTGTGCCAAATTTCGGTACCTGAGGTGGAGGCGGAGCGAGAGCTCATGACTCGCACCTCAGACTCAGCAACAATGGCGACAAAAGTTAACGTGCAGCACTGTTCCTCAATGTTCTCAATAAAATGTTGAAACTGAGAAGTTTAGACTATGGGCCCGAACGACGCATAGTGCGTCCAAATTCACACCCGTTCTTCTCTGTGGATTTTCTCCGCGACCGTGTGCCATAGCGAGAAACCACGCATATCACGTGAAACGGCAGAATTGTAGCTTTCCGACAAGGCCAAGTACTTGTCAGTAATCCAGTGTTTTCACAGCGAAAAAAATTGATAAAGTTACAATAAAATGATGTATAACAGAGCTTTCATACAGCTCTGCACACACATTACTGTTGGATGGATTACTCGCGAATGCAGGCTCGCACAGAAATGCCATGCATATCACATGAAAGCTCAGGACCACACACTTCATTGTGCTGTCATCCCATCATGTTATAAATCCAGATTATTTGTCTACAAAATAAAAACCTGACGAATTTCTTTACAATCCATTATACAGATCTTGTTACCAGTCACTTCATATAGTGAGGAATATCGTATCTTACCACATCTCAGGCTTGCGTGTGTTTGTCCCTGTCCACATTTGTAGTCCGGCTTTCAAGATGCAAATATCTCCATATTGTCCAGTTGGCACTCCATCAAACTTTGTATGACAAGACCAGCCACTTCACCTTTGCGCACACAGACAACTGCAGCCTAATTATGCATGCTGACAGGGCCATAGTCACCATATACATTAAGAAGGACATGTGCCCCCCCACCAATGCCCAAAATGTTTCCCCAATATAAAACTGAAACTGAAAAACAAATACTATCTTGGAGGACATCATTGCACTTGGTTGACTATTTTTCTGTTATCTTAGATGTAAATATTGTGTGTTTCATTCAGATAAAACACATTTCTGACTTGTGAATGAGTCAATGGAATTTCTTGCAATAATGAAAAAATACTGGCAATTATGTCCGCCTAGCACAAACCACATGTTTTGGACAACTGTGAAGTGTCCCAGCATCATGGTTATTATATTGCCAGATTCCAGAGAGTCTCCCCTCTTCATATATGGCAGAATATATACACAGATTTGTTTTTTTCATTGATATAAAAATTAATATGAAATACAGGCACATAGAAGGAAATGGAATGATGGCAAATCTGGTTAGCCCAGATTGTCCTGAAAAAAACAAGATATAGCATGTGTATGTAGCCTTTATAATGACTGTGATATGAGCTTAAAAGTAAAGGCAGTAAAAATACCCCAAAAAGGCCTAGGGCCCATAGGGTTAAAAAGTACCAAATAAGGTACGGTTTGGTACCGGTACCGAATTCCAGATACCGGTACTGGTACCATATCGGTTCAATTATGAATGGTACCCAACCCTAGAATTTAGGGAAAACTATTGACGAACATACCTGTGAGATTACATTAAACAGCCTGTTTGCTGGTGGTTTACATTTTCTAACAGCTGAAGTAAAGTTACTCTTACAGACATGATAAAAATCCAAAAGGTTAATCAGGCCTGCAGGTGCTGTAGAGCTGAGGTATCCACAGGTTACCATGGTTATATGTCTCCCTCAGTTAAGGAGGCTCTCAGGATGTGCTGTGGTAATTACAGCTCAGTGCATGTTGTTTGATGTTGAACATACACGCATTGGGTATGTAGTGCATAGTATGTGATTAAAGTTGCAGTCATAGGGACCCATTGAGAATGGTTATGTTGTCAAGTTTGAAAAGGTCTAGATTGATGCATTTATATATTTATATCATTATTTCCTCCCCAAATTATGTCAGTGATGGACGCCTGATAAAGAAATACATCTCAGCCCAGGTTACATGATGAAAACACATTATTTAACCACAGTTCAGTCCTCTGTCTGCTCTCTGTGATCACCTGCGCTGTGTTTTAAAGCAGCCTTGGTGAGGACAGAGGGCTGAAATTGAGAGAGGAAGGTGCGTGTTCTAAATTGGGTGAACATATTGGTTGTATTGGTATACTGGTTTATCTACTTAGTTGTCAACAGTTGCAGATGTAGCTTTGATAAATGTCCAGCCAAATATCTAGCTATCCTTATTGAACACGAGTTAGTTTCTACAGTAGCTCATGAAACCAAATGAGAAATGGTTTCACCTACTGTGTTTTTGTTTGCCATTATCCATCCAAAATATGCCCCCAAGAATGTGACCTCCAAACGTAAAGCCAAGGTGGAAGCAAGATGGTAAAAAGTTAGTTGCCACCACTTAAACATTTGTCAGACAAATTGGATCCCTTCACTGCTGTTTCCTCTTATTATAAAACAGCACCCACAATTTTTAAACGCACTCCTCAAATGTACTGAATCAAGTTGGTGGTAATGCTTCAGTTGAATAAATGGCTTCCAGTGTAAATGATATGTACATGTAGCAGTCACTCTTTTGTCCTCTTGTCTAATCAGTATTCTGACCATGATGTTTTGTTTTTGTAGGACCAGCTGCTGTTTTGTGATGACTGTGACCGAGGCTACCACATGTACTGTCTAAGTCCTCCCATGACTGAACCACCAGAGGGTAAGTTGACACTGAACACTTTGCTGCAGAAGTTAACAGAATGAAAGGACGTGCTTGTTGTTACACATCCTTGATATCATCGCCATGATGCACCCCTTCAGCCAGTACATCCAAGGTTACTTTCATGGCACCTGCAACCCATCTGGTCTCATCTGCTCTCTTACCCTTGGGAAGTGAATGTTGTTACACATTCCTGATATCATATCGTCACTTTGTACTGGGTTTAAGGCCAATACCATGATCAGAATCAGAATGCCTTTTATTGTCATTGTATTATCAAAAAACACAAAGAAATTAGGAGTGCTTCCCCTACACTCAGTATATCCAAGGTTGCTTTCATAGAACCGGCAACCCATTCATAAATTTTTCAATTCAATTCAATTTTATTTATAAAGCCCAATATCACAAATCACAATTTGCCTCACAGGGCTTTACAGCATACAACATCCCTCTGTCCTTTGGACCTTCACAACGGATAAGGAAAAACGCCCCCGAAAAAAAAACAACCCTTTAACGGGGAAAAAAACGGTAGAAACCTCAGGAAGAGCAACTGAGGAGGGATCCCTCTTCCAGGACGGACAGACGTGCAATAGATGTCGTACAGAACAGATGAACATAATAAATTAACAGTAATCCGTATGACACAATGAGTCAGTAAGAGAGAGTGACAGAGAGAGATGCAGGACAGACGATAATGTTAATAGCTTACAACAACATTAATGAAAGTAATAATATTATAAGTATAATTCTGGCTACTGTGGTCCTTTAAGAGAAACATCTTGGTATAGGAGAAAAACCTTTTAGTGATTACACAGTCCAGTTGTCTTTCCAGAATTAGATACTATAAGCCTGTGCTGTGATGTACAGACAACAGAGAATAATCCATATTCTTCTCTAAATGGAGACTAAAGCCCCGTTTACACCAAACACTTTGAGTATGGTACCTTTGGAACCAGCAGTAACCCTTTAGACATGGTACCTAGACCCTAGTGTTTCCACTGCAAACACTACTCATAAATGTGGGTGGGGTTGTTGTCACTCACTGCTCCGTCCAGCGCTCACTCTATTTCCTCATTACCGGTGACACAGATGGAAGTCTGCACCTTGTTTATCGTGCACAGAACGAGGCTGCAAGTCGACATTTTCTGAACAAAATAAAGCAGGCTGCAGTGAGAGTCTCTCTCCATGGGATATTTAAAAATAGTGTGTTTGTGCATTTAGTCCTTCTCAGGCAAGCTCAGGGGTTTAGTGTTGCCAGAGCCCACGGGAATGACGCTCCACGGCACTTCTTTTTTTCTCTGAGGGAGGTTTAGAATATATGCAGTTCACATAACCAGGTTGAAATTAATCTATATAAATGCTTGTAGATCCGCTTATTACTAAAAGTGTCTCATGTAAAAACTACAGTAATGGTCAAAGTTGTCACAGTGAAAGTTAAGGTGTGCTGATGGATTCATGTCATCAACTCATGCACTGAGTAACATTACAAGGAAACGTTCCACCTTAAAAGTTGCCAGCAGGCGGCCCAGTGAATTAAGTTATTTTTCCTCAGACTCCAGCTGCTGAGAGAGGCAGCAAAACATCCTTTCATTTTACAATCTACAAGTAAAACTCCCCATGGTATGAACAGTGGTTACATGAGCCTCAAAGCAGAGTGACTGCCTGCTACTGACCAACAGACTGCAGTGTTCACAGCTCCACCTTTTAGTACTAGATCTGTGTGCTCGGTACCCCAACAGAGGGGTAAGTGGTACAGAACGGTTCCATTGGTACCACCCACAACTTTTCACAATGGGAAGGGAAAAAAAGCGTACCAACCTGAACTGAAGTGCACTGCTTGGTGGAAACGAGTCTTAAATAAACAAGTGTTTCCTCACAGTGATGTCAGACTAGCTGATGGTGGATTCCTTTGTGTGTGTGTGTTTACAGGGAGCTGGAGCTGCCACCTGTGCCTGGCTCTGCTGAAGGATAAGGCCTCCATATACCAGCAGAACCAGAGCTCTGCCCCTGAGTGACATCATAGCAGCAAGTCCCACCCCCTCAGCAAAGGGACCCCGCCCCCAAATGGAAACGTCAGACCTCCTCTCAGTCCAGAGCTCCAGGCTCTGTCCAGATGTAGCTGAGCCAGATCGCAGATCAGCTTTAGAAGACTTAATATCTACAGCGTCAGTGGGGGGATCAGTCAACACGGGGATCAAACTATCACTACCAACCTGCCTGCAAAGCCCCCACAGGCTTGCCGTCAAACACATACACATCGTGCGTATAAACAGTATCGACACACACACTCTCTCCTGGACTGTTACACACACTAGATACAGAGACAGAGAGCATGCAGTAACCATAGTAACTGCTGTCTCCTTGGGAGCTCCCAGGAGCAAACGGATTAGCATTACAGCTAATTATCTGCACCCTTTCACACTCAAAGACAGCGCGGACTGTCGAGACAACAGTTTTTTTTTTCTGCCAAATAATCTATTTTTACTCCCTGAGTGTGGGAGAACGAAAAAAATCACCACATACACAGTGGAGGAATATTATTATTATTATTATTATTATTATTATTACTGTTGTTATTGTTCTGGTTACTAGTGGACTTTTGTAGTGGCATTTGTCTATGTACTTTTGTCTGATCCATCGGAGCGTTAATCTTTTAAAGAGGTTTTCCCGAGGGGAGCCGGTCAGTGCCAAGGTCCACCATCATATGACATACACACAGCAGTGACCCATGGAGCTTATCATAATCATGTTGGCCATCTTTGTTTCATTTTATATCTGTGGGACAAAGATGGTTTAAAAAAAAAAGTCTTAATTTTTTGTCAACAAAAAACTTTGGCTTTGACTCGTTAAGCAGTTGGCACAAAAACTTTGGCTTGTTTTAGGATTGCACCAAAACCAACTTTCCATCTCTGATTCTGTTACTGGATTGATCAGTTAACAAAACATTATACAACGGAGCATTTACTGTTAGTCAGACTCAAGAGACAAAAACATTTAGTGTGACGCCAGTCTTCAATATTATGATTCCATCAGACTGCTAACATTCTCTTATTTTGAAAAATCTGACTATAAGTCCAATAATGCCATTTTTATTGGAGGAAACTGACCAATACATGAAACTAGTAACAGAGGTGCATCCTTTACTCTAAGATGTTTTGTGCTGGCCTTTTACAAACAGTTTGGCAGTGACACCACCCTTTTAAACAGCCGCTGTCAAACCAATGACACAGGATCATTCACAAACTGTAGCTGCTTTTATCATTTGTCACACGGAGGCAGATTTGCATGCAGATTGCACCTGTATGAATGCACACACACTCACACCACAAGTGTTTTTTTTTTTGTTTGTTTTTTGTTTTGTTTTTTACATTTTATATTACCTGATATTCCATTGGTACTGGGAGTTTTTTCTAGTAGAGTTTTGTAAAGTCTATGGTATAGCAAACACTTCAAGTATATAGCTCCTAATGCATTCTATGTACTGTATTGACTTTTTCTATTTTTGTTATGACTGTGACATGTTTGAATTTATTTGATTATTCTTATATGTCAGACCTCCATTATGAGTATTTGTAAAATGATGTACTTTGTTGTACTATTTTTATTTTTACATTTCTTTGGTATCAAAGCCGATTTAGCCTGACTGAAATAAAAAATCACTTTGAATTATGCGTCCATTGCAATTTCTTTAAATGTATTATTTCTGAATGCACAAGTCTAAAATGTAATGACATCTCTGTGAAGTTTAACACTGACACATTGTACCATTTCCTTTTCATACGGAACAAAGTAAGCAAATTCTTTCTAGGCTAAGAGTAGGGTGGTGTACTATGACAAGTAGATCACATTACATACTGTATACAATCTATATGAAGTGTGTAATGACACCCCATTATGTGTTAACAAGCTGGATAATCTATGATGTGGACTTAATGTGTCCCAGCTTCAGCACTTGGACAGTTCCTCTCCCAGCCTGCTGAAGGCTGTAGAGCTGTCCCTGGTGCTGATGTGTTGCTCTATGTGACTCCAAACCATAGTACAGCATGTCATATAAAGTAAAAAAGAAAAAAGGTCATAATATAATGGGTGATGAAACATTAAAGAAATGGTCATAGTATAGTCATAACAAAAAAGTCACAAGTAAGTAAAGATAAAAAAAGAGGTCATACTGTAGTATGTCATAACAACTAAAAAAGAAATTGTCATGTTATAGTATTACATAAAAAGTAAAAATAAAGGTTGTAGTATAGTATGTCATAAAAACTATGAAAAACAAGTCCAAGTATTTTTTTCATGACTTTTGACGACATACTATAGTATGACTTTTTTTCATGGTTTTGGATGCCATACTATACCATGACTTTTTTTCATGATTTTGGACGACATACTATACTATGACTTTTTTCATGGTTTTTTACGACATACTACACTATGACTTTTTTTCATGTTTTTTGACAACACACCACACTATGAGTTTTTTCCATGGATTTCGACGACATACTATGCTATGGCTTTTTTTCATGGTATTTCACGACATGCTATACTATGAGGTTTTTTTCATGACGTTTGACGACATACTATGCTATGACTTTTTTCATGGTTTTTGATGACATACTATACTATGACTGTTTTTCATGGTTTTAGACAACATGCTATGCTATGACTTTTTTTTCATGACTTTTTACGTCATACAATACTATGACATTTTTTCATCGTTTTTGACGATATACTTTACTATGACTTTTTTTCAAGATTTTTGACGTGATATTCAACTATGACCTTTTTCATGATTTTTGAGTACAACTATACTATGACTTTTTTTCATGATTTTCAACGACACACTGTACTATGACTTTTTTTCATGGTTTGTGACGACATACTATAATAAAAAAGTCATTGTATTGGATGTCATCAAAAATCATGAAAAAAAGTCATAGTATAGCATGTCGTCCAAAACCATGAAAAAAAGTCACAGTATAGCATGTCGTCCAAAACCATGAAAAAAAAGTCACAGTATAGTATGTCGTCCAAAACCATGAAAAAAAGTCACAGTATAGCATGTCGTCCAAAACCATGAAAAAAAAGTCACAGTATAGTATGTCGTCCAAAACCATGAAAAAAAGTCACAGTATAGCATGTCGTCCAAAACCATGAAAAAAAGTCAGAGTACAGTATGTCATCCAAAACCATGAAAAAAAGTCACAGTATCATGTCATCAAAAATATTGAAAAAAAAGTCATAGTATAGTTTTTTGTCAAAAATCATGAAAAAAGTCATAGTATAGTACATCATCAATGTAAAAAAAATATTCTGAGTAAGAAAGGTCTTTTTTTTTCATGTAAATTACGAAAAGAGAAACCTCACAGAACAAAACATTTTATTTCACTCAACAACACACACACTCAAGGACTCTCTCCAAACACATTCAAATCACCTTGTAGCAAACAGTGGCTTTTGTTTCAGCACATTAACACCACCCCTGTGCTGAGAAGCTTTGAGGAAAGAGGGGGCGGGGCCTACATCATGTACAAGGTCAAAGACAACAGTGGCTTAGTGCAATTATCTGGAGCGTGATGTTCAGCCATGCTATGCTGTGTACAACTACAGACACAAAGGCATGATGAAAACTCGACATTAAACTTTACAAAAAAATAACGTCACACACTGAGAAGCAACTATATAAACTTACACGTGTATTCATCTGGTCATTGAGGTTACCTGTGGCAGTCATTAAGTATTAATAAGTAAACTAACACACTTTGGGGTTCCTTATACAATAGTCTTGGTTTCAGAACACAGTTTCAATACTTTATAAATTTGTTGTGAGACAGTGCATTATCAGTTGGGTTTGATGTCACAAAGTCTGGGCTTGAGGTGCTCGGTACAAAACTATGTAAAATACTCGTTTATCAAAGGTAAACAATGCAGCTTTCAGACAGCTGGTGTCACACGCTGCTCAAACACGTACAGCCACCGTGGAGTGAAATGAAAAGTCATCTGTCCGTATGTCTGATGAATAATGGCAGCAGTGAGGGTGGAAAACAAGTCGCACCACTTGTTTGAGCATCCTTTTGTGTGACTCCGTGCGTGGGTTTGGTACATGGGAAGTGTGCGTGTCCTCTATAACCTCTCGAAGCCAACAGAGCAGAGGAGGAAGATGGCGTAGAGCAGTATGAGACAGAGTCCTAGCTTGCGGTCCAACCTCCAGCAGTTCAGATGCACACACAGGACCTGATGAGGGAAAGGTGGAGAGATTAATTTCCTGTTGCACTGCCCTTAATATGATTCACTCGGCCTGAAAACAGAGACGAGGGCTCTCAGGCCAGGCTTTAATGTAACAATGATCAGATAGGACGGAGATCTAACTCACAGTGAGTGTGACTGAGGCCAGCAGCAGAATCACTGAGTACACCAGGCCTTTGCTGTTGATTGTCACCTAAAAACCAGACATGATAAAGCATTAATATGTTGTGAAATCATGAGGGCTGCTCTGTAATGGTCGACCAGAAAGGTCATCAGTCGGCAAGATTTTATTGGTCGCTTAGTCGCATAAATAAAAAACGTGAAACTCTATTAGGAGCTGCGCCTTGTCAAAATAAATCAAAACCTATATGACTGGACCATGTGGGAATTTAATTTGAAAGGACAGACACAGGAAGAGGCCACACTTAGCAGTCAGACAGGAGTCACGTTACAAACCAATCGCAGCCTACAGATATCTTTCCCTTCTTCTGTAAATATTCAGTCTGTGGTAACAAGAGTCACAAGAGTAGCACCCAGCGCCTGACCTCACATTTTCCAGGCGGTTAAAGATGGCATGTAATAATTAAATTAATATTGTAAACATGTAGGTGACTAGTCAACTAATGGCCCTAAAGTTGGGTTGATTTTAACACTGGAGCGTTTACCACCTTGGTGCAGTTTGTTTGAGCAGGTGGGAACACAGATCTTGCACTCAGGTGCGGACCAAAACAACCAGACTGAGATCTTGTTGAAAAGATGGTCTCTGTCTGCACTATGGTGTGTTTGTGCTGTGGCTACAAAAGAGCCCACGCTTGTCCTCTCTATTCACATCAGCGCTGAACAGGTGTAGGCTGTGTTGAAGATCACACTGATGCCCTGATGGATCTTCAGAAATATTTTTGGCTGATGAGCATGACACAGCTCAGGATGATTAATGTGCGCATCCTTCTCTCAACTGTCATGTTATGCTCCTTCAGCGTCTCCTGTGAATCCACACATTATTTTAATTTTTTAATTTTATTTTTGTCTGCTGAGTATGTGACAGCTCAGGATGATTGATGTGTGCGTCCTTCTCTCAAATGTCTTCGTATGCTCTTTCAGCAACACATTATTTCCTAGCTGCACCTTAATTTTCAAACTGAATGGAGGGACAACTACCCAGTACTGTAACATGCTCATGTTTAAGCCAAACAATGCGTAATGTGACTGCAGTTGGTTCAGATCGAGGTCGGAGCACGTTCTCACCACAAAAGAAACTCACCAGAGTTTATTTGTAACCGGACCGAGACCACCTCTTCAAGAAGGTCTCTGTCCAGTTGTTTTGGTGCAAATCAGAGAGCAACTGCTGTGTTCACACCTGCCCAAATGAAGCGCACTTAAGGGGCAAATTAACTTGAGTTCAATTGAACTGAACCGAACAGGGCAGGTGTGAAAGCATCCAATTACAACCTGGTTCCTGACTCTGATCAGAGCAAACGAAACCTTTAAATACAGTAATTTACTTTATTTCGCACACCAACATTCATGTATAAAAAATGTGTTCAGTTCCTCTTTGAAATGCTTGACTGGAGTATTTTTAAAGTTTTTTTAGAGAGACATTTTTACAGATAGTCAAGAGGGAAAAAAAAGGAGAGAGACAGAGGGATAACCAATAGGATGTTGCTATGTTTTACGATATTGGGTCGAGTCAGCTGTACAAGAGATAGAAAACAGTTGGTGTTACCACTGATCCGTAGCTGACGATGAGAGTCCTCAGCGCCCAAGGGAAGCCCAGACCGAGCAGTACATCAAATATATTACTGCCAATGGAGTTGGACACAGCCATGTCACCCATCCCTGCAACATGTGACACACACATAATGACATGCATGTGAAAACAGGAACTGTGAGGGCATTCAAATGACATCGGACATCCAGTCAGACAGCTTGAGTTTTTTGTATAGTTTCTGACTGAGAATTAATTCGATTTAGTTTTGTAACATACCAAAATGTGCAACAAAAGCTTTGTGGTACAAATCATTCATCTGCTGCCGTAAAAGAAAAAAAAAATCATAAAAAAATCATAATATAGTGTGCCAAGAATAACCTTGATTTAGTTTTGTGACACAGCAAAATGTGCAAAAGAAAAAAAAAAGCTAGGTGGTATAAATGATTCAGTAATGTAAGGATGTGTTGAGACACTTAAAGTCCTCCTTTTGATTATGTTTATGTCCCCTGAAATGTCTAAACTTGACTAAACTGACTTCTATCTGTGCAAAAAAAAAAATAAACAACATAAACTAATAAAAGATGCTAACTACACTGATCATTCTGATAAGCCTACTAGTCACTGATTTTGGTGCACAACAGACTCGTCATCTGGGTCTGATTGAAAAATATTTGTGTAAGTATTTTCTTTAAAATGTGTCTGTAGAGGAACTTTA